TGGGGTCTGCCACGCCTCTTTCTGCCTGTTACATACTTTTAACAAAACCATTATAATTATACCCTGACTTCCCATTTTCAATGGGTTCAGGGTATAAAAACAAACTGCGAAAGATATTTAATCAAACTAAAATGCAAACCTTTCTAATTCATGGTCTGCTGTAGTATGTATGTAATTAGGTCTATGCTAAAACTCTTTTGTTGTCTTTGCCATATTTCAAATGCAGACTGTTTTTAAGTGACTTCCCTGCTGAGTTATGGCAGCTCCAGCAGGTGCTATCAGTTGCTACCTTGGGGGCCCCGCTGTGATCTATCGCATTTGCTTATGCAAAATCGACAAATGCTGTTGCCATATTGGTCAGCTTTATGGGTTAGTCGTCATAAAAGCGCTAATAGCGAGAATGCCCGCTGATATGGCCAATGCGACAAAGCCAAATGTGGCTGTCATTAATGCTAATGATCCTTAACAGCTTTTGTGCCGCCGGCAGTGACAAAATGGCGCCTTGGCTAATCTGCAACTGGAGTGCGGGGTGATCGAAGAGGGCGGTGGGGGTGGGGGAGGGGGACAGCTGCACTTACCCGGAATACGTTGCATTATCTGGTGGCGGTAAATCTCGTGCGCGATGTGCTGCTGCATTCGCAGATCGACGAGCTCGTTCATGGTGATCATGATTTATATATATTTAGGTGGTGGGCACAATATGTTGGTAAACAGATTTCACACTTTAATAATTTGTTTAAGTTTTGGCGCAATTCAATCACAGATAACAACAAAACAACACACGAAAGCTGTCAGCATGAGCTCTCAGTTCTATTGTGCGGGCCACGAGGCAAATTCGATTAGCGTCAATTATGCAAATCACAGCTGGCAAAGTGGCGTAGTTATGGCAAATGTCTCATAGGCGTGTGGGTGTTAATTTGATTATGACCACAACTGGTTGGGAATTGGAAACGTGTCTGGTCGACTCTGTCAAAGATTTACCGACGCTCGCGTCTTGCGCTCGCCAAGTTCGCATTTCAACTGAGCAAGTTCGACAAAATGTCGCTGCCGCCGTCGCCGTTGCCTCCGCCGCCGTTGCCGCCGCCGCTGCCGTCGTCGTTGACCGAAAACGAGCTTGACGAGTTCGAGCCATTGATCGACATTACCTGCAAGATCTGTTCCGTTGTGAATGCTGTTCAGCAGCTCAGATCAGATCTCAGGCCTCTTGCAGGTTGCCCTCAGCAGCACTGCGATTGGCTGCAAAACCGCAGCGAGAGTGCACAATGAGTGGCTAGCATGCCGTCTCTGTCTCACACAGAGCACTCGCTCGCGTTGTTAGCGCCTCCATTTTGAAATTGACACCAGCTGCAGGCGTTTTTGTTCGCTCATTGTTAGCTCCGCCCTCAACCGATCGATTGCTTAAGAGAGAGGCAGCGCTCTCTGTCTCGCTCCCGCTCTCTGTCACTCGCTCGCTCTTTCTAATTGTTTTTAATTTTGAAGTGCGAAGTTGCACAGTCAGCAGCCGCTCCAGCTGAAGCAGACAACCACATGCTCCTCCGCTACTACCGACGGAGTCTGTGTTTGTGTATGTGTGTGTGTGTGTTTGTGTGTGTGTTGGCGTGGTGTTGCCTTTTAATTATACACCATGATCGAAATTGTTTTTTAGAGTTTTCCTTTTTTTCCATTTGGCATCTTTTTTATACTTATTTATGCTTTGCCCATTTGTAGCCTCTGCCATCATGGTGGTCCTCTTGTCTTTGCCACAGTTGCTGCTGCTGTGGCTGCCGTTTTGCTGTTCATTTATTTGATTTTGGTTTTGACGCTGCGTCATTCGGCGGCATTGATATGGCGGCATACGCATGTACCCGAGCACCGATATGGGCTGGATCTCCTACTCGAGCTCGATATCGAGCTCGGCACTGCAGATGCAGCTGGCTGATTATAGTATTTTCTTCTTCCTCTTCTTCATCTTCTTTAATTGTATCTCCTCGTTCTGACCTTTTCGAGATTGACAAAACATTTGTTAAGCTGCGGAAACTCATGTCGTCTACAAATTTGCTGGCCGCTTCGATTGGATTGCATTGGTGCGAAGGCGGCCAACGGGAAGCAGATGAACATTTTGTATGTCCATGGCTGTCGTTACGTGGGGGATTTTACAGCTATAGATGTTCAAATAATCATCAATAATAATTAAATAAATACATATATGAAACGACCAAATTCAACATTCAATGATAAATTATTCATAATAACCAAAATAATTATTCAATTTTTTTCATATCATTGACGTACATTGATCATCATTGATACATATATGCTTATTATATATACACATACACACGTATATGCATTTATGTCTATTTCATTATTATACTATTACTTAATAAAATTAAGTTATTTCCTTCTTCAGCTGATTTCTCTATCAACTATTTTTACTACGCTTTCAGTTTTTTATCGTTTACTTAAATACTTTAAATTTATTTGCCAAAATTTTGTATTCCGTCTTCAGATATTAATATTAGTTTTTAGTAAATTAATCTAGTTAAGAGAAATTTTATAATATGCCATTAAATATACTTAATATGTCATTAAATTTATATAATTACTTTGTAATGACGTACATTAGTTGAGGAATATGTAATATCTACAAAATAATTGATATGTATATAAGGGATAAATTATATATTAAATTAATAAATATGGTACAATAATATATCTTTGTTTTTTAATTACTTTACATTCGTTTTCCAGTGTCCTTCTATTTAAAAAATAATTAATAAATGTATAAAATATAAAAATTTACAAAATAATGTACAGTATATAGCATTTAATGTTACAGTAAGTTTCAGTTTTGTATGCAGCACTACTATTTTCATTAGCATCATGTCTGGCACGTTAATCTATTTACTCTGTGAGTATTTTATACAATTAAAATTTGTATATTTGTTAATAGAGCAAATTTGAGCATCTGTTGAAAACTAATTAAGCTAATCATATTGTTGGATTGAACTTTAGCTTTAGTGTTAAGTATACGCCACCTGCGATCGCTGCTAACACAAGAGAATAACTTTCGCTTTCAGTGCCAACATCTCGTATTTCCACAGCCATAATACTGGGCAAATATTGCAGCTCCAATCTCTGGGCAAACAGAACCACTTCCGTTAGGCTGGCTCAAGTAATTAAACATTGCCATAGCTTTGGGCTCTTATCTGACTGTCCTGCACTACTGCGAAATACTTGAGTTTGCATGATAAATAGTTCTGCCAGCTAATTTACACAGCACTTTACTGGCTGACACATCCACTTGGGCTTATGTTGTGGCAGCCAGCGGCGATAAGCGATAGAAATTAATTTACTATTAGCTGTTCGCTGCTCGCTGTATTCCGCTGGCTGTTGGCATTGGCGTTTCGCCCAAATTACGTCTGCATAGTGTATGGAGATACCCTCTGCCCAGCAGTCAACCCAAGGCACCGCACCGCACCCATATGCGTGTCTGCGTTAATTTATGCCTCGTGTTTTCACATTTGGTCGCGCACGCTTCCGGTTCCTCTTTCCATATGCATTGGGTAAACAATTAGCCAAAGGTTCGTCTCTTTCGGCCTGTCTGTCTGTCTCGCTGTCTCGCTGTCTGAATGGCTGCCTGCTGACCAGCCCGGATCTAGGCCTGCGAGACGAGCTCGCCAATAGCTGTGCAATTTGTCAGCACTAAGCTAATTGGTGTTGCCCAAAATTATCTGCCTGCTGTTTGACTAATGCTCTAGGGCCTACTTCCGTTTCGTATCAGGGGCGGCTTCGGCAGCCCAACAGGTAGCTCGAGCTCTCGTAGTTCTCCTTGCTGCATTCCTTACCGCTGACTCAGGCAGGAGTGTATTTCATTTAAATACCAAGTTTATCAGCCAAGACACGATAACTGACATGATACTTGACTTGATATTGCTCTAGGTAATGGTGAAAATGTAAAAACAAATTCAAAATATCTCCAATTGTATTCATTTTTACAGTTGAATAAACATTATAATAGGTGTATATAAAAAGGAAAGACAAAAACAAAATATATAGATAACTTTAATGTTTGTGTAGTTGAATAAACAATAGATATGACTGTAATCAAATTTTTTACAAATAGAATCAATGTTAAAATCAACATTTGAATAGGATCTCTTATTGCAGCAGTAGATTCAATTCAGTTAACAGTCAGCAAATATTCCTGATTTGTAAGAATATTATAGTTTGTATTGTGATTTAAATCTGAACAAAAAATAATTAAAAATTTTTTGTCCTCCAAAGAAGTTGAATAACTATTAATAATCTCATTCAATATTAAAATCAACATCAACATGTCAATGGTATAAACAATTAAAAAATATCGAATACATAATGTCATTTTAATCGATTTGATTTAACAAAATATATAATTAAAAAAAAAAAAATAAATGTATATAAGTTTGTAGTAAATTTCAACTTCAAATTCAAAACATCAAGTTCAAGTTCATCCAGAATATATGAAATATTAATATATTAATATATGAAATATTAGTTAATCGAGTTCGGTACAACCTTTCATGAGATAGAGAAATTAATTAAAATTGGAATTAATCGATCATTCATATTCAAAATCTTAAGTACTTCCTTTTCAGACTTGTCTTAAGATTCAATGCAATCAATATTTAAAATTAGTTTAACAATTAATTGTTTTGCCTAATGACATAGAAATATTAGTTGCATATTAACCATTTAGCTAAGAACGATAAAAAAGTGCATTGTACTATCATATTCATATTTTACATATGTATGTATTTAATTGACTTGGCAGTTCAGAGCCTTGGATATTCTAAAATTAGACGTAAAACTTCGTTCTCGCACGACTATACAAATTAAAATTAGCATACAACAGCCGTGCGAAGCTCATGTAATTTTCCATGGAAAATATAACGAGGCCCAGGCAGTACTTTTCCCATTTTATTGGTTTTCATTGTGGACTTTGAGTGAACCGATGCCAAAATTTATTGATTTAAACTTTTAGCTACTCGATTGTTGATTGAACAAGCACCCAGCTCCCAAGCGACTATTAACGGCTGCCACTTGTTGAATCTACATTGTTACAGCACCAGCCTCGATGAGGACTGAGGACAGAGGACGGATGATGGGGATTGGAGAGTGGAGACTGAAGGATGATGTCTTCGACTAGCTCGATGCTTACTTGTTGACGCTCAACTGTCTGTCTGACTGAGGCATGTAAATCTACTTTTGTATGCAAATTAAGTCACTCAATCAACAGGGCGACAGCAACAACTATATGAAATGCGTTCACAATTGAACGATCCAGTTGTACCCTATCGAATTGAGTTTTCAGATAAGAAACCTTTGGTGGTCCCTCCATATATTTTGAAATTCGTTCGTCTATAGGAACAACTTCTTTAAAGAGCAATATTTTAACTAATATATTGTTAAGTATATAGGTTATAGCGTATAAGCTTTTTGTTTTCTATATTTATTGCACACTCTTACAGGGCATAATTATATTTTCTATAATATGGTGCTATTTTTCATACACTTTTACAAAGTATAATCGATGAACTCATTTGCTTCATTGAACGATGAACTCATTTGCTTTCGACCCATTACGTAGAATATCATTTTATAGGATACAATCAGGCTCTATCGTCTTTCTACGATTATATACAAATACCACCTGACTATTTGTTATTCCATTTTACAAGGTATATGCATGGGCGATCATATCAAATGATAGCCCTGGTCGGGGACAGTTAAAAATAAGATTTAGCAGGCAAAAGGCATCATAATCATGTGGGTCTTTTGCTGTAGCTAGACGACTACAATGGAGCATAGCAGCCGGCCCACTTAGCGTCGGTTGGAACAGGTAGCCCCAAGACCTCTGCGCGAGACCCCACAGCATACTCATATATGTGTCTATCTATGCAGATGTATGTGTATATAATTGAGAGGTGTTTAATCGTGTGTTTCGCTTTTTGTTTTTCTGCACATTCACGACCTATGGCGAGACAAGATTTACCTT